CGGAACGGCCGTAATCCATGAATTTTAATATAGGGTGGATTTAGTGAATAGATTATGATGGGAAAGATAGTAGAGCTGTTAATCTGGTACAGATTGTGTGACATTTTGAAAATTTTGTAAAAGGCTATTTTCTGTGGGTAAAACATTGGAATAAGAAGTAGAAAATAACTCTAAATTTGTTAAGTTCTGGTTTGATTGCATGCATATTTTGATTCTGTATTCCTTCCCTTCTATGATTTGTTCCATTTTTTTTTTTGTTTTACTTTAGCAGAAATTTCGGAATACAGGTAATGCTTTGTACATTTATCATCCTTTTTTATTCCATTACATTATAAAATTTTTTGTGTGGCACTATAGCGCTGCTACAGCGAGCAAAAACGCATATTGTCGAGAGAAGGCCGTATATGTCTGAGTAGATTTTTTTGATTATCTGGAGGCCTAGGCTGAGCAGGTTTCCCTAATTTTACGAGAATTTTTATTGTCTTTGTGCGAGTCCATATGCGTGAAAATGGGCATTTGCGAACGCCTCTATCACAAATGCGGGTATTTTGAAAAAAAAATTTTTTTTTTTGATGGAAGAACAATTTTGGAAGCTTATATTTCTTTTAGGGGGGAAAGTTTTATATTTTTAGTTTTTTTATTTCTTTTAGGAGGGAAAGGGGGACGGAGGAGGGTGGGGAGCGGAGGAGGAGGGGAGGGGAGGGGAATTGGATGGAGTAATTTCCGTGTTCATTTCATTCTACATAGTTTAGGCGGTTGGAAGCGATGACAGCCATTCTGCGCGTACAACTCCAAGTAAGAAGCGAAGTTTCGCCTGGACGCTTGTTACTGAGAACGAAGACAAATTTCGATGCAATGTTTGCAAAACAGTGATCAGGTATTGCTCCTCATCCAACATCAAACGTCACTACAGCAACAATCATCCTGATGTCCTGAAACAGTTTAATAATGAATCAGATCGGGCAGCGGCCGAAATCTCTGATGACAAGGTATATTCTCTCAAAGTTATTGTGCAGTCCGCCACTTTAATAGGCCAGCAAACAGGTAGTTAGTCCTCGAAAACCCTTTTTTTTGGCGAGATTCTGCAGCTAATGACACCCGAAAAAATTGTTCGCAAATCGTGTATGAGCCAGCCGAGGCGAGACGAGCTTCCGCCATTTTAATCGGCCAGCAAACAGGTAGCTATTCCTCGAAAACCGTTTTTTTTGACGAGATTCTGCAGCTAATGACACCCGAAAAAATCGTTCGCAAATCGTGTATGAGCCAGCCGAGGCGAGACGAGCCTCCGCCATTTTAATCGATCAGCAAACAGGTGGTTAGTCCTCGAAAACCCTTTTTTTGGCGAAATTCTGCAGCTAATGACACCCGAAAAAATCGTTCGCAAACCGTGTATGAGCCAGCCGAGCCAAGTCAAGACGAGCCGAGCTTTAGTAATTTCCTTGCTAAAATGTTGCTTCTCATTCTTCTCGCTTTTGAGCTTGGTGTATTTTCATAATTTTCACGTGTAGACAGTTAAATACATTTTTTTAGTATACATTTTGCTTAGTATTGAGTAGAATAAAAATTAAAAATAAAAAATAAACTACGAGAACGACTGTACTAGACGATTGGTAGGTGGTTGACGATTGATAAGTGGTTGACAGATGTGGTGGTAAACGAAAATTTTCAAGGGATAGATGAGAAAAAAATAAAAATTTTTGTTTTTTTTTAACATCAAATTATGCGCATTTTGTGAACCTTGGAACAAGTAAAGTGGTGGGATGGCAGCTGTTGTAACTTGATTTTAAAATTATATCTATGTTCCATGTATTTTTCAAGTAATAATATTTATTCAGTTAACTAAAAAAAAGAAAAAAAAGCAAATACACTGCTAGCATGTGTTATAATTTTCATACCAGAAACAAGAAACTGAAAAAATTTTGCAATTTACACAAAGCACCATTCTTTTTTCTTTTTTTTTTTTGAGCAATTTGAGTTTTTATGATGAGCAATAGGCGCGAAGAAACATTGTATTCACACA